AATAATAGGAAGTGTTTTATATGCTCTGTATATATTAATTTCTCTTTTGTTTCTTAATTAGTTATATATAATTCTATTTTCATTTTGGTTCAGTTTGTTGCTTTCTAAATCATTGGGCTATTTGTGTATACTTTTATTCTTTCTAGTTTTTAGTTTGTTCAGTTATCCTAACTAGTTCTTCTTTGTTTAAGCTGCTGATTCGTAGGTATTTTGTGATTTTATCTTCCATTTCTGTCTGTTTTCTACTAATTACAACACTGACTCTGGTTTGAATCTTGTTTTCCAACTTTTATATATTGTGTATAGTTCTGAAAATTGGAATTGAACAGAATCACAAAGAATTGCATAAGGTTTGGAACACTATTAAAAATGATAATAGGGTATACCCCCACCTATTAAATTTAATATAAACTTGAGAATCAAATACAGAATCAAAGAAAATTGTTAGGATTCTTAATTGTATATTATTGTATTTATTAATATTTGTATTTTGTCAAAATGTCCTAGGATCTGACTGTAGAACTTTGTACTGTATACAGTTTTAATTACTGAAATAATTATTGCTTAGTCTATTTTTATTTCTCTAATATATTTTTTTTTTATGTTGTCTCTATGATTGCATTCTTGACATTTAGCTATAGGTAAATCTTCTTTTATTTATCACATATATTATACTCTGACTTTATTGTCTGCTATTTTGTATTTGTGATTTATTTTTTTAAGATATATTTGCTAATTAATCATATATATTAGGTATCTTTACTTTTGAATATTGTAACTTTTTACTACTTCTAGCTAAAAGATTGGATTGGATCTTGTTAAGTTAATTAGTATAATTATATATTTGTTTTTTAAAATATCCGATTAGCTGTATTTTTTTCTAATTTTAATAAACCATCTTGGTTATTTTTCAGTAGATTTATATTCTATAGCAACTTTGATTTGTCTTCAGTTTAGCATATGCATTTGTTAGATATTTATAATCTGTTCAATGAATATTAAATTGTATTTTTAATGTTTTTAGTGTTTTTTTTGCTCCATATTTGTCCCATAATATCTTTAATCATATATAATTTTGTGTTGTCATGTATAAAGATGGGTCCCTAAATTAAAGGTGAGGACATAATTCAAATATCTCTCCCTATTAAAAAAGTTTTTTTTTTAAATATAAGGTCAAAAAAAAACTATCTACAAAGGTTTTTTGCAATTTAGGACACTTGATTCAAGTGTTTTTTGAATTATGTCCCTATTAAAGTAATGAATAAATAATTATGTCCCTTCAAAAGGGACATAATTGATCTGTGAAATTTTATATGCTAAATAGTTTAGGGACCCATCCTTAGTCATGTATTTGTATTAGGCTGTAATCTTGATTTTGTTCTACTACAATGTTCTCCTCCTTAAACATCTATAGGATTTGACTTGTTAAATATTTTTTGGATTTGTCAATTGTTGTTTCTATTTTAAATATATTTTCTAGTATTTATGTGCAATTTTGTAAATATTGCAATCTGTTTTTGGTTAATGCTCTACATAGATTATTTTTGTTTAATTTTGTTATCCAGTTTTTAATATGTAGTATGAACTGTCTATCTTTTATACAAAATAGTTTGTATCCTATATAGATATATCTAAATTGACTGTTTATAATATGTAGTATGAACTGTCTATCTTTTATACAAAATGGTTTGTATCCTATATAGATATATCTAAATTGACTGTTTATAATATTAAGTTCTTGATTCGAAATGATTATATCTTGGAGCATATATTCTAAGACTGATATTATGACCTGATTTAAAATATAACTGTATTGTTTGTTCATAATTATAGTTCTTTTAAAAATCTATATTGTTGTTTTGATATTTTGTTTAATCAATTTATATTGATATTTTTTATTACCTGTTGCTGTGATCTATACCCCTAGAATTCTTATAGCTTGTTTGGATTCTACTAGTTTAATTGTTTAATTTTGAAACTAAAGGTTTTCTATATCTTAACTATTTATTATAAGGATGATTGCTTTTTCTAAATTGATTCTGAAATTAGCAAGCTTCACAAATTGTTCAATAATTCTGATGATTCTGTTAATATGCTTTTTGTAACCTACTAGCCAGATTGTATCATTCATATACTGTATGTTATGATAAGATTTTATATTCTTGTACTTTTTATATTATTGAATTGTTTATAGGTTTCTAAATTGTAAATTTATATTTTATGTTTTCCTTCTTCATCCTGCTAATTAGTAAATTATAATAAATATATTATAACAAAGGTAAAGTTGTGTTTCCTTGATTTATGCTTTGTGCTGATTTAAAACTATTTGTGAGAACATGGCATAAAATGACCTTTATTTTTCTATTGTTAATTAGATTTTTCAAATCTTGCTAACAGCTATCAGAATTTTGATTCTTTGTAGAGTCTTGCTTAAAAACTTTAAATTTATTGAATTATAGGCTTTTCTGATGTTCTGACTTAGGATTTAGCATTCCTTGTTCAACTCTTTTGTCTCTTCCATTACATTGTTAAGAATCCTGATAGGTTCTTGTGTACTTTCTTTTAAGAGTTCTGCTTAATTGAGTGATAAGAGAATTTCATGCTCAATTAGTATATTGCTCAATTTGTTGTTAATAATTTTGATAAATATTTTTTTGATTGTTTCTAATAGGATAAATAGTCTTGTACAGTTTAGGTTATATTGCTAATCTGCTTTTTTGAGAATTGAATAGATATTGATTTTGTATTATTGCTTTGAAATTTCTGTTAATTTCAAGATCCTGTTGAAAGTTAATGTGATTCTCTTAATTCTTTTAATGCCAAGATGTTTTAATATAATATAATTGAGTTTTAATCTTTTAAGAACTAACTCTGCTTTTGCTTTTGTGATGGTAGCTTTGATTTTATTTATTGATATTGGTTATGTCATTGGATTATACCATGTTGCATTAATGTTTGGTTGTGGTGAATATTCTTTTTTTCATTTATCACAGGTTTCTTTGTCCAAATCTCTGATTTTTATTGTGATGTTGGAGAAATGTAATATTACTTTCTTTTAATTTCTTGTGGTTTTGTAATAACATTGATATCTAATATTCTGATTATCAATTTGTTTATAATAATACATATTCTCTGCTAGTCCAGAATTGTACTAATCATTTTCTTGGAATTATGTTTTATACAAAACATTTTTTCCTCTATTTATTGTTTAATAATGGCTCTATTTTTTTTTAATTCTCTTTTTATAATAGGTTTTTTGTTATTTTATATATTTTTATATATTATGGAATCATTCTTGTATAATCAATCACTCAGCTGACCTGTCTATTTGCATGTCATTAATGTTTTTGTATTATTTTATATATAAGTTTTAAAATCACTTGCTTGGTTATGTTTAAGTCTTTTTTGTTTTTAAAAAAATAAATTTCCCATGTGCTAATCTTTCTCAGAGTAAGTAGATGTTGTGTTTTTTTAGGTGAAGCCAATTTTTTTTTGATAATGTTTTTGATATTTCTATTTCTTAATGTATTGATATATCACTTTACTAATAATGTCATATGATATTTCAAAGTTTGTTGTTATTTATTTTTATAATGTTGTATTTTGAGTTTTGCTCAGTAATTTAATTCTCTATTTGTTGTTAGAATTTCTTTTATTATTCTGAGTTGATATTTTTGAAATTGAAAATAATTGTCTTTGATGGTTTTTGTTATCTTTCCTATTGTTGAACTATTTTGATGACATTGATTTTACAAATACAAATTTTATAATTGCTATATATAAACATGTTTGATATAGTGATGTCAACATATATCAAGTTTTATTTTTATTCTAATAACATATATACAGTATAGTGCAAAAAAAATAATAAAAATTTGTAAGCTTATTTTTCTATTTTTTTAATTTTTTAATTATTATAGATAATAGAGTATATATAATATTATAATTGTTAGTAGAAAAATTATTAAAAAAAATTCTTTTCACTGATTTTTTTGCCAACTCAAAAAACAAACATTCTCAAAAAATTTTATATCTTTTTGATAATAAAGTAAAAATGAGTTCATAAATTAAAAATGAGAATATAATTCAAATATTCCTTACTATTAAAAGAGTTTTTTTTTAAAATATAAGATCAAAAAAAATTACATACTCAAGTTTTTTGCAATTTAAGTTATTTGATCCAAGTATTTTTTGAATCATGTTCCTATTAAAGTAATGAATAAATAATTATATCCCTTCAAAAGAAATATAATTAATCTGTAAAATTTTATATGTTAAATAGTTTAGGGACCTATCTTTATAATAAAGTTTATATGCTTTCCTTAACAACACCAATTTCTTAATCAGCAGAACAAGTAATAGCTACCACTTGTTTTATTTTTCTTTTTCAAAATATTTTTCATGTTTATTTTTGCAACTAAATACAAGAAGCCTATCTAAAAGGTTTATGGCAAGAACACCTTTCTAAAAAAAAAACTGATAAGAAAAAATACTCTTTAAAGACTTCTAAGATATTCAAAAATCCAAAGAAACAAGAATAAAGAAGTTTTCAGTTTTTTCATTATCTTTTTGGCTTCCTACTTCTTTTTTCTCAAGTATGCTTTCTTTTTTCTAATTTTTCTGAGAAATTTTGCCTATCTCAGTTTGACTCTGAATTTTTAATTATATTAGATCTTTTGAAAGATGATTAGTTAAGGTCACAGATTGGTTGATCATGTCAGCTACAGAAAAAGTAAACAAGATACAGTCAAACCTGGTTATACCAGCCCAGTTTATACCAATTTTATCTTATAATGAATAAAATATTTAATACAAACTTATAATAATAATTATTATCTATTTATAATGAATTTTTATAATACTATATTATATAACAGTTCCGGCGAATTATTATTAAAATTAATAATAAAAATATATTATTTATACCAATCTAGCCAATCAAATCAAATCAAATTAATAATTATAAAAAATTTTTTTTTAAAAATTATACTTTAATTAAAATGGATATCTCTTTAACTAAAAAATCCAAACGTTATGCTTTAACAGCTTTAATTAAAAAAAACATATGTCTTAAAAAGAAACAATATCCTAAAATAAAAAATAAAAAACTTGCACAAGAGTTTCAATATAGTGAATCAACTATTTCCAATATTCTTAAAGAATCAACAAAATGGTTAGCTATTGAATCAGATTCTATTCAAGCAAGTATTAAAAAAAATCGACCACCCAAATGGCCAAACTTAGAAGAAGTATTGGTACTTTGGATACAAAATGTATTAGCGGCTAATCAAGATCTTACAGAAGAAATAATTAAAACAAAAGCTAAATGGTTTGCAAATTATCTTAAAATCGAAAAATTTGAAGTATCAAATGGTTGGTTAGAAGCTTTTAAAGTTCGGAATCATATTCAACTTTATATTAAACATGGTGAAGCAGCAAGTGTACCTTTGGAAATTTTGAATAATAGTCGACAAAATATTCAAAATATTTTAAGTTCTTATCAACCACAAGATATTTGGAATATGGATGAAACCGGTTTATTTTGGCGAATGAAGCCAAATAAATCATTAGCACAAGATCAAATTATTGGTACAAAAAAAGACAAATCACGAATAATTATTTTATGTGCATGCAATGCAACAGGCACCGAAAAGTTACCTGCAACAGTTATTTATCATTATAAGAATTCTCGTTTAATGCACCAACTCAATTATAATCTTCTTCCAGTATGGTATTATTGGAATCACATGGTTTGGATGCAAATTTCAATATTTAATGATATTCTTAAAAAACTAGATAATCGGATGCGAATGTAGAATCAAAACATCATTCTTCTTTTGGATAATGCTTCAGTTCATGTAGTTAATATAGTACTTACTAATATACGCGTATGCTGGAGTTATTAATTCCTTTAAATATCATTACAAACAAATTTTTTTACAAAATCGGATTGATGCTTATGATATTGCTGGTATGAATAATTTATTGTTGTAAATTTAAATTTTATATTAATTTTTTTTTTTTTTTAGGTACAAATGAATCTTCAAGTAAATTTACAATTTTAAATGCGATTCATTCTATTGCTGATGCTTGGACCAGTGTTTCTCAAGATGTTATTGTTAACTGCTGGAAAAAAACCAAGATTCTTCCATCTTCTTCAACCTTAATATCCGAAAATAATACTATTATAGCTATTAAAGCTCTTGATAATGAACAACACAAAGCCGAAAATAAACTTGGTCATTTAATTGATTTATTTAACTACAATGATCCAATGAATCCTGCCGGTAAAATTATTTATAT